CACAGGAAGCTTCGGAGATCATTCCGAGAGTTGAGAGAGGCCACCACCCTGCGTCAGTCATGGTTTGGTGGGGGGTGTCCTACGAAGGGGTCACTCAGCTCCATTTCTGTAAACAGGGCGTGAAAACAAAAGCGGCAAACTATCAGAGCGACATACTGGATCCTATCGTCAAGCCTTTAAGTGGTACATTGTTTGCCAACCAACACTGCGTCTACCAGCAGGATTCCGCCCCCGCTCACAAGGCTAAGAGTACGCAGCGCTGGCTGGAAAGCAATGTGCCAGAGTTCATTGCTGCGGAAGATTGGCCCTCAGGGAGTCCGGACCTCAATCCTTTAGACTACAAGTTGTGGGACCTGCTAGAGCAGTTGGCCTGCTCCAAGGCCCACCGTAATATCGAGTCCCTGAAAGCGGATTTGATCCGATCAGCGGCAGCTATTCCTTTGGAAGCTGTGCGTGCAGTGATAGATGAGTGGCCCGCGAGATTGAAGCAGTGTGTGAAGGCCAAGGGGGGACATTTTGAATAAAACTGTTTGATTATGAATTCTAAAAATGTTGTCGAATAAATAATATCTTTCATATAAATATATCTTATCTTGTTTCATTTTTATCATGAGATTATCATGGGACAGAACTTATGGCACGACTACGTATACACAGCGACAAAAAATATAATATACAATAAAATATATATATATATATAGTACCTCCATGATCAACACTCCTAAAGTAAAAATGATAGTACCCCCTATCATCTTCACAGCATCTTACTGAAATTTGACGACGAATCAATCTCCGAGGAGAGAGTGAAGTGGGGTGCTAACATAGGATGGGTAGAGCACATACAAATCAACATACAACTAATAAGAGTATTTCTTACGAACGAATGAGGTGAATACTTATCATTTTCATTAACAACAGTAGACATATTTTGACTCGCGTAGCATAGATATAGGTACTTAGGTTAATTGAACTTATTAATAATCTGAATGATCAGTGAAAACATGTTTTTATAATTCACACTTATAATCGACATAAAACAAAACCTTTTTTTTATAACAATCCTTTATTTTGTATTAATTTAACTATCACAATCAATGTGGCAAGCTATATAAGATAAGATGGAAACAAACAAATGTAACATTATTTTTGATAAAAATTATCCCGATCAACTAATTTCACTAACCTTAACAATTTTAAACACTCAGCTATATCAAACCCAATATGGAAAGGAAAAGAAGTTCGTATAAAAGTAGGAAAAATGTTGATGCAAATTACTTCAGGATTCACTTCTTACACATTAAACGTATGACCACAGTTAACATACAGGTAGCTGTTCACAAGAATGGCGGTGTGACCCAGTCGGCTGCGATGTCTTGTCGGACCCGACTGACCCTTCGTTTGAGTCTCCTGAGCACTTCCACGTAAAACTTGGCGTTGACGGTTGCTTCGGGAGGAACAAATTCATGGTGGACGATGCCTTTGATGTCAAAAAAGACAATGAGCATCGTTTTCACTTGGGATTTGCTCATTCTTCCCTTTTTTGGGCGAGGAGACGCCGTCGTGTGAAACTCGGAAGATTGCCTCTTTGTCTCGGGATCATACTCAAAGATCCACGGCTCGTCACCTGTGATTACGTTATTCAAAAATTGGGGGTCACTTTCACACATGTTCAAATTTTCTTGGCACACTTCCACCCGCAGCAATTTCTGGTCGTCAGTGAGCACTTTTGGAACCATCTTCGCGCACACCTTGCGCATGCTCAAATACACAATGTCATGAACGACAGATTTTGGTAAATTTAACATCTGGGCAATTAAACGAATACTTAGTCGACGGTCTGAGTTCAAAACTTTGCGCACACGAGTCACATTATCGGTGATTGTCGAAGTCGAAGGTCTTCCAGCACGGTTTTCATCAGCGACCCCTTCCCGACCCTCCAAAAAGGCCTGTGCCACCAAAACACACCACTTCTAGCTAAAGCAACACCTGGGTAAGCCTGCTTGATCATATCAAACGTATCTGTCGCAGATTTACCGAGTTTCACACAGAATTTAATCGCGTACCTCTGCTCTAACGAACGCTGCATTTTCGGCTTGCACCACTCACAGAAACACGTCGCACGAAAATGCCTGTCCTGACTCTCCAAGTGCTCGGAGACAACTGACCAGCCGCTCATTCGTCAGCTAGGAACGCCCTCTACCGAATCCAGTCGGTGCGCGCACGCTGCGGAAGAAAATGAGTCATATTACTTTCCGGACAAACCCTGTAGCATGCACTCGACCCAATCTTCTTTGTCTGATTTTCTATATTCTTCTTCACAAATTAAGTAGAACCACTATTCTTCTTCAGAATCTGATTCTTCTTTGAACATTTTTTTCCTTACTTCATCATACTTTGTTTTACCTTTACTTCTCTGCTTTAGCTTCTTTTTTATGTTTTTTCCATTTTTTCTTCAAATTCTTTCTCTAGAACTACTGTCTATGGAGTATCAGTCAAAACAGCTGTCTTTCGCTAGCTAGTTTTTTTTACTTCGGATGGAAGCAATCCAGAGTAGATGTCTGCACATTTCAAGAGGTGACCATTGTCTAATATTTCTTTTGCCGCTTTTCCATAGACCTCTTGAAACTTTGAGAGCCGTTATAATTTCCTTTTATAATCCACCATCCTTAAATACTAAAAAACTTGACCGATACAATATTAGCCGATAGAGTTATAGCTAATTTAAAGAAAAAAAACATTATTTTGCAGGCCTGGGGCAAGGTGTAACAGGTTACTAATTGTCTCCAAAAGCGTATCTCAAATTTCTAACATTTTTATCTATAGAAATAAAAAATTAATAGAAACATTTTTCAATTATACACAGTAAGATCTTAAAATCAAATTTTACGAAATAATTTGTTTTAGGTTACCAAAAAATAGACTCCTGCTGAAGTTGAGTTCAAAATCCAAGCAAAATATTTAAAAACGGCCGAGTTATTAAGCTGTTACTACTAACCCCCGTTACAACAAGCCCCTCTGTCTCCTAGTTCCAAAACAGTTTGGCGCATAATTAAGTGACTTTATTTTATTAATGCAGCTGGGCAAAGCAAATGGTTTTGAAAATGATGATTACATTACTTTCGTATTTCTAGTAGATCCGGTTCGTATGGCCACGGAAAAGGGTTGTGTATAACGAAGATCCCAGCTGCCAAAAATGAGGCGCGAATTTTGATATAATTCCGTTAGGTTAATCATCAAGTCATGTATCACCAGGACATGTCATTAAAACCGCAACTCAAAAATGTGAAAATTGAATATATACTGTCCGGGCGGCAAAAAATACCGCCGAGTAACTGATGATCCGGTGAACAACAGCCGAAAACAAAAGATAAACGTCCCGTTGCGCTGACACAAATCAATTTCCGGTGCAGAAGGGAGTTTTTCCTTTTGGCCGAACGGTGATGTTGTCCAGAGACCAGACCGTATTTCAACGGAACGACCAAAAAAGACCCAGTGCTCCAAACCTTACTGTATACCTGCTCCCGGCGACCGTGCCATACACGGTTGCGAACATTATCTGTCAACCGTGTTTATGAATATTTATTTTTTAGACCCCCAGTTCGATGTGTACGCGCGAGCGGGTGAGAAACTTTAATTATTTGGCAGCGACAGCGTTGTACATCAAGGTTTTGTCCAGCGACAAAAAGGTCACAGAAGAATGAGGTCCAAGTAGGATAACGTGTAAGGGGACGTTTTCGGGCAATTGGAGTTTGGCTAGTGCAGTAGGAAAGATGAAAATAATCAGGAAATATGTAAATGAAATTTCTGGGTCGCTGCAGTAATTTTACGTCTTCCCACACCCACTGGCGAGGAAGTATTGTAATCGCGAAAAATGGAATGTAATATGGGATATTATGTTTTTTGGATGTCATCTGACGACAAATAATCACTTATAACTTGAAATGTTGTGACGTGCCAAAAAAGTAACCTTTTTATACTATTTTGATTACCAGCTAGTAATTTGAATTTCTCTGTATTAATGGTAGAGTGTCCATTCCTAGACCAAACCCTTCAATGATTTTCTTTTGGCAAATTTCATAGTTTATTGATTATATAATTTCACACGTATTATATCTTTCTTTCTCAGTCATACAGTATTGTGTTGGGAAAAAAACTCTGTGGTTTTCTGATGAACAAACTTCTTTAGGACATGCATTAATGCAAGTGGTCCGAAGGTTTAAAAAAAGACTTATCGCTGAAGATTGAAATCCCATAAGAAAATGGACGGCTTATAACCCAAAACCAAAACAACTAGACGTAAGGTAATATATGAAGGGGTACTACTCCACAAACTGGTGTTCGGCACCTAATATCCGTAGGTTCAACAAATGGCGATAACACGACAATTTCAGGAGAAAAGTGACTGACACGAAACACCTAATTTTATAAAGCAGGGTTCAATGAGTGGCCTTAAAGAAGTTTGTTTAATAGAAAACAAGTTCTTTTCCGACAATGTGAAAGTAAGATATAATACGTGTGAAATCATAAAATCAATAAACTATGAAATTAGAAAATCATTGAAAAGGGTTTGGCCTAGGAATGGGTACTCACCATTAATAAAGAGAAATTCAAATTAACTAAAATTAACTTAGATAATTAACTATTTTATAGATCTTATTCATATATTGATTATTGCTGACTGAAATTTTTAGAGTGTACTTGATTTCGTTTGGCATTTTATGTATTTAAATATGGGGCAGTGCCTACATGGCACCTTCTATTGGGCATGACGAGGGATGTCTTTTAAGTTTTGCATATGGAAATAAAACAACACGGTAGGTGGTTTTAAATGACTTTATTGTCTTTCGAAGTGTTCTCCACGAAGATTAATACACATCTGCATGCGCTCGAACCAATTCTCGAAGCACTTATTCCACTCGTTTGCTGGCAGATCCAAAACGGCATTTTTGAATGCGTCAACTGCTTCTTCTGGTGACTGGAAGGAACCTTTGACCACGCAGTCTGTTTTTAATTTTCGGGAAAGTAAAGAAATCGTTAGGACTTAGATCGGGACTATAAGGAGGATGGACCAATAATTCCACGTTTTCTTCCGTTAAATACTGTCTTGTTTTTTGGGCTGTGTGCGAGCTTGCATTGTCTTGGTGGAGGATGATTCTTCTTTCGGGGTTGATTTTTCGAAGCTCGGTGATGACTTTTGGCAAACAAATGGTGGTATACCAAACCGCAGTATCAGTTATTTGCTCATTAAGAGGAATTGTTGCAATATGACCCGCTTTTGACACAAATGTCTTTTTCGAAACACTTCGAGAACGGATGACTTTTGTTGGCTTTTCTTCACCTTGGAACACCCAAACAGCCGACTGTCGTTTATTTTCTGTTTCATAACAGTAAATCCACGATTCGTCACCACTAACAAGGCTGTACACATTCTTTGAGTTTCCGGAATTGAAACGGTCAAGCGTTTTTTAACACCAATTAACCCTGGCTGCTTTCTGCGCTTCAGTCAACAGGTGAGGTGTCCAACGAGAAACTAATTTTCTTAGTCCTAATTCTTCATGTAAAATTTTTTGAATTGAGGTATTTGAGATCTTCAAGGATGCCTCAATCTCGCGATATGTCACATGTCTATCTTCAATGGTGAGTTTACGCACAGCATCGACGATTTCCTGGGTGACTGCCGTTTTTGGTGCACCCACCCTGGGATCGTCGCTAAGACTCACCCGTCCACGTTTGAATTCTCCATACCAACGGGAAATTTTCGACTCATGTGGCGCTTCGTTGCCGAAAACAGACAGTAACTCAGCAAGGCATTCTTGTTGCGATAATTGTCTCTGAAAGTTGTAATAAATTATGGCGCGAAAATGTTCTCGGTTGAGTTCCACTTTTCTAATGACTTGGTGACACTTAAAAATTCACTGTAGTGAGAACACTGCACGTATTGTGCACGTGAAACTTTGAATTTAAGTTTACTAAAGAGTGAGGTTAAGATTCAGTACTGACGTTCGATCCGCGCGGCCTACTATGTTTCTATATGCAAAACTTAAAAGACATCCCTCGTACATTACGTTGATCATGATTTTGATCTTTGAGCTGCCATAACTTTATTTTAGAAAAAGGGTTTGGCCTAGGAATGGGTACTCTATCATTAAAAAGAGAAATTCAAATTACTAGGAAGTGATCAAAATATTCACTTCAATTTTTGACGTTTCTGAGGATCCTAATCAATTATGAATGGGAGGCTATAGTGTGGTGGAGGAGGGTCAATTGCAACTTTTTGATATCAGATACACTTCCAATCTATTAGACATCGGTATTTCACACATCCCTGTTCCTTCACCCTTGTAACTTTTAAAAATAGTTTCAGCAGTACCTACCAGTCGCTGTTACCGTACGGCTTTGTAAATATTGCACCTTTGGCAGTGGATCCGAACGACTCATGGAAGCATCTAAAGGAGTGGGCGCGATATGCACATACAAGGTGGGTGCGGTATCTTTGATTTCGTGAGGTAATATCATATAGAATAAAATAGTAAGAGCTACTATAATCAGTTATCAAACATTTTTTACAAACTGCTTTACACTAGAGCTCCAAATAAATAAGACTACCGTGTCGAACATGTTGATGGTTGCAACATGAGATAATTTGTTTTCATGAAATCCTACGACTTTTTGATGCTATTGCACCACGTGGAAAATTGAGCCAGAAGTTTTTTCGAAATATAGGTGTTGTAGACTCAATCTGCCTTTTTAACTTAAAAAGTTTTTAATAAATTAAGTTATAGAGTTATATAGTATGTGACTCAAAGCAGAACGTATTTTAAAGCACGGATCATCTTCCATGACGCCACCTCTGTTGATGACATGAAATTGGAGGCTATGGTGAACTATTATGGCAACTGCGATAAGTGTCAGTTGATCAGTGACTTGCTCTTCCTTACGCGTTAATCAACAGTCTAAGTATTGCACCGGTTTCCTTAAGAAAAATCCAAACTTTAATTAGTTTGTTTTGCTATCCTGGTTCGACAACACATTATTCTAGACCAATTATACCACTATATTATTTTCAACAAACTTCCACTGACTATAGTAGGTAAATCTTTTTAGTATTTTAATCTGACCCTATCACAGGTACTAAACATATAGCAACTGTTCGATGACAGTGAAGATTCAGGTGATGACAGATTTAACAGGGGTGACGTTATCATAGCAGAAGAATTCAACTTGTCAACATTTTCTTGGATACCAAAAGTCGGTGGCTGTCACATTTAGCCTGTTGCCGAATTTCCAAAAATATATTTTTTTAATAAATTACTTTGTTCTAATTTTCTAATTAACATGAAAATATCCTGTTCTTCATGTTAATATTATGACAGTAGTGAGACTGGGATTTATAATCAGATGAGACAAGATACCTTCGGTCGATTGTCGCAAGCACTGGAGAAGAGCTAGATTACCTGTTTAGAGCTAAAATCACTCAACCTCATTGATCTATACAGACCTGGGCTGGAGCGCTGATCCCATGTTTAATTATGTACATCTCCTGAAAACGACAAAAATATTACGTATTTTGTTATTTTCTTTCTGGTTTGAACCAAATACCTGAATTACGATGTATCTGAAAATTTACAACGAACACCCATGAATTAATTCAGTGATTGATGCACTAGTATCAGTTTTTAACGTCATGATTATGCGAACATCACATTAAAGGGCTCATAATTACTGCAACAGACCCTCCTAACATAAAGAATATCTGTTTGACATTTAACCTACATTCTTTCAGAGATCTTATGGTAAGATTGCGGCTGCCAGAGGAAATATCATAAGGAGAGGCCTCCTTTGTGAAGGTTGTTACTTTTTAGTAACTGTTTGTCCAATTTGTTATGTCAGAAAAAAAATAGTATATGTCCAGGTACGAAAGGTCTGAATGCAATAACTAGAAAGAGGTGCTAGTGAAGATATCAAATAAGCAGCATTCTGTAACCTTCCTCATGAATCCTCCTGTACACCAATGAACACACATTGGGGCTAATAACGTAGGTAATGATCAGAATACCAAATACCCCTCTAATGCGTTATCGCATTCTGATATCGAAAAGTGCTAATTCGAAGTTAAAACAGTTGCCAGCAATTTCGTTCGTGGCCACTCGGCACTATCCGGTGACGTTTCGGGTGAGATTCCATGTCCTGATAATCTAACGGTCATCTACTTGCTTAGTTGGTTGGTATTCGATACGATACCACGTCGTTCTGCCCCGTTACACTTCTTCGCGTTCCTGTGAAATTAATTACCCCCTGATGAATATGCATGCGACCCTTGACGATTTTTTCCGATCAGGGTGAACCAGGTCGCAACATACTGGGTCTGTACAAAAATAACCCGCATTTATACATTGATGACCTGCAGATTCGTTTTTCTATCTACAATTTACAGCATACCATTTCATCTTGTTTAAGACTGAGCAGTAGGTTGTAATGTGGATAGTCACAAGCAGGGCAGGGCCTACACAGGAACAACCAGGAAGTATTGGGCGGTCCAGGTCCATTGAAGGAATCGGTTCCCCTGGATATTGCATTGTCGGACCCGTTTGTTTCGTTCCGATTGATTCACGTAGCCACTCGATGATTCTACAGACAGACTGGGTATGAACTGGTTTGAAAGGTTACGCATTGTTGTCAGAAGTGCGGTAGATTATTTTTTTACCATAGACACTTCGGTCACCAAGGTACTCTTTTGTTCTATATGAAATAATCTGAATTAAGTATGCAGTCTATATTAAATGATTATGACTAATATTCATCAAATGATAATCATGGGCATGTCCGCAATAAAGGTACAGGCAAGCGCGTATCCAGAAGGGTCAAGGGGGTCATGATTTTCGATGTGACTTGTATGCATCTCAGAGACCATGCACGTGTTCTGTTCAGTACTATTAACGCCCCTTCGACATATCTTGGAAGAGTAGCAGTACCTAACTTAGGTATTAGGTACCTACTGCCCTGTTTTTGAAATACTCGCGTTTATATTGAAAGATTGCGTGTTGTCAATATACCAGTAAAATATGAAGGGGATAAGGGACTTCAGAGAAAAATTACGGTTCGCTTTTCGTTATTAGTGTAATTGGTAAATGGTATTTTGTTATGCCATCATTATAATTCATAGGATAGGTCAAATAGGTGTATGATAATGAATTTTGCACCTGGGAATAGTGACATATGCGTATATGCACGCGTATTACATGACTGAAGGTGATATTTTTAACCGAAAATTTGTTTCCCGGTGCGAGATCGTATCTATTTGTATAACCAATTCCATTTTTATTACATCCCCTCCGCTATTAGAACTGAAAAAAATGGCGCCGTTGTTGTTTGTCATCCCATCACCTCCACAGTGCCACTATCAGAGTCATGGAGAGTAGCCAAATATTTCTAATGATAGTTTGAAATCGAAGCAAAGGTGCTGACGCTAACGTGTATAAGGACTTAAAGTGGTTTTACGCATAGTATCACGTGACCCGTTTGAGGTTAGACATATCAATTTCGTACAGATGATTCTGTTTTAAAGCTAAACTTAATTGTGTCTCCTAAGAGCTAAACTGCTAAAGGACGATTGATAAAAATCAGAGATATGATGAGAATGAGGACTTTAGATCCCAAATTTTAAAACTGGTACTTCAGAGACTTTTATTCGACCAAATCGTATGATATTTTTCAAATTCGACCTATATTTATAGGAATGTTCGCTATATCTGTTCCACGCTACCTACAATCATTAACATGATTGCAAGAACCATCTTGTTTCTGTGTACAAACCCAAAGTTGCTTTAAATGCTCTTTTTACTATGCAACAATAGAATGTTCGTTGAAAATCATGTATCTAATTTTGGTACATATGGATGTTCAATAAACGAGGGAATATACCTTTGTCAAAGTGATCGAAAATGAATGCAAAACTTAATAGAGGCGACCAGATATGGGTTATTAAGAGCTTCTAGCAAGAAGAAAGTAATGGGTGATTCAAATTGAGCTTCCACATTACAAATGAATTTTTTTTGGAACGCCACTGAATTTGGCAACGATAACGTGCCATTTCTAACGTCAAAATATAAACAAAACAGTCATGAAGCAATATACGACCGAACAACGTGTTAAAATTATCTAAGCCTATAATGAAAACGGCCGATCAAGGAAGAATACATTTCGTGCTTTACGTGAATTTTTTGACGCACAAAATCGGCCTTGTGAGAGGACAGTTTGGAATTTGGTGCAAAATTCGAGCAAACTGGATCCGTCGCTAACACCAAAACCCCTAGGCGTGGTCGTAGAGGTCGGTCGGAACATAATATTGCTATTGTTGCCGAAAGTGTGGCCGAAAATCCAAGAACCTCGATTCGTCATCGATCGCAGCAATTGGACCTTACTTATTCCACTACACAGCGGATTTTAACAAAAGATTTGAAGTTACACCCATACAGAGTCCAAATAACAC